GTAGGGAACAGGGCTGCGAGCTGGTCCTTGAGGGCCGAATGTGACCTAGATTTGTTGGGGCCCCCACTGGGCCCATGGGCAGTGCGCTGGCCCTCGGGCCAACCTGGGTGTCTTCCCATCGCGGTCCCAATGCAGCCCGACTCCAGTCGTGGGATAATAAGGTCGTTCTTGCTAAAGTTTTTCCCCAAGGACAGGGGTCTACTCATTAACTGATAATTTTAGCCAGTTCTTGAACCTTAGACAGACTCTCTAGGTATAAATGATTTTTAAAAATCATCATTCATGGAAATTCTATTTCTTATCTAAAATCTTCAGTTCTTCTTCTAACACTTGGTACTGTCCCCTTCTCCATCTTCTTGGAACCCTGTCTTCCCCACTGACTGCCCAGGTCAAACTCACGTCCAAGTCACAGATTCTGCCCCACCAAGAGGCGCAGGGCTGGATCTCGGTGCCATTCGGCCATCCGTAGGAACTGCTTATTTTCATCATGGGATGTTTTACAGTGGCAGGACAGAACCATCTCTCTGCATGACACGGATGAAGCTGAGGGACTCTTCCATCCACTACCTGTCTACATCCTCGTACGCCCCCAAGGAGATGGCACGGAGACCGAGAAGGCGCATCTCATCCGACGTGAGCACCGCACCTTGCCCCGGGATCGGCCATTCCTAGCTGGACTGCCATGCCAGACAAGCGGGCGCTGCTGCCCCTGCCCAGACCCCGGTGCAGGAGGGCGGAGCTGGTCCTCGGTGCCGACTCGTGGAGCGGAGGGGCTGGGTTATGGTGCAGGACCCAAGAAGAGCTGCAGTTCAAGTTTCATGTTCAAAGATTCTAGCCAAGGAATGAAGACCAGATCCAGAGTGAGGATCTAAACCCAGCCGGCCAGGTCCGAAGGCTGAGGTGGAGGCAGTGTCAGGAAAGGGAGCAGGAGTCCAGGAGAACCTCCGGACAATTTTGGGGTACTTCACGGGGAGGTGAGCAGGGTGGGCGCCGAACCTGGTCCTACTGTTTTATTGCCCAGGTCAGAAGTGGCCTACGATGACATGAGCGCAGATGTGGGCTTCTTTGCACAGCTGCCCTGCTCCCTAGAAAGCCAAAGTGATCTGTTTCCCTCCTGTTCATGTTCGAGTTGCTGATGTTTGTATTTCTCCTCCAACCATATTATGAGTCTCTGAACAGCAGAGAACATATTTTATTCATCTCCATGTCAACCACTCAATAAACATTTCTTGTGCAATAATAATTACACTAATTATATTAATAATAAGAAAAAAGATGAACCGCCTCCCAAGTGTCGGGCACTTTGTGAAGTGTTTACGTTAATGATGGCACTGAATTCTCAGAACGATCGTGGGAGTCGGCATCTCCAAAGACGAGGAAATTGACGGTCAGAGAGGTTAAGTGACTTGCCTGCATCCTCCAGCTGAGAAGCAGCAGAACCCGGTTTAAACCACATACGCTCCGCACAAAATCCTGGCTTACCCTGCCAAGGAGTCTTACAGCCAACTCTAGGCACGAAGATGAAGCAGCAGGCTATCTGGAAGGTGCGAGGGGAGGGTCGAGGGTGTGCGCCTTTGGAGGGGAGAATCAGAGGTGTGGGAGTACAGACACTCTCCTGCTTTGAGAAATGTCCAGGTGCATCATTGAACAATAAGATGACAGGCCTCCTCTTGTCTCCAGGCATCCAGAATCGCTTGGGGTGGGCCACTTGTGATCCTCTTGGAAGCCACCGAATGGCAGTTTACCTTCGCAGAAGACCACCGTGCACCTGGAGAGGCAGGAGGAACGGAGATGTCCCAGGTGTCACACCGCTGTTCGCCACAGCCTCGTGAAAAGGAAGTCGGTCATCTCCGGGGACTTCAGAAAAGAGGGAACTTTGGTTCTTGGGAACCCCTCGTGAAGATAAGAAGAGAATGGCCTATGTGCTGTGCGAGCCTCTAGCTCGCTTTAATTCTACGTGGAGTCCCAGCCAAACTCCTGGCGCGTGATCCGGGCCCAGGGACAGGCAGCCTCACAGCTCGCGACACCACTGCGGGGCAAGCCGGGGCCTCTCCCGTATGTCGCACACACCACACAACAACCCTGCAAGTTCAGATCACACATGCATTTGTACCCCCATGTTATAGGTGAGGAAAATAAGACCCACAGACTTTCGCAAGGTCACACGGCTCATATCTGGACACAAATCCTGGTCTACCAGTCACCCCAGCGCTCCTCTGGGACAAAGCAAGGAAGGGCGTGGACTCAGTGTTGGAATTACAAAGGTTGTCTGAGGCCACATCATTCACCCTCCGCCATGCAGGAATCCCAGGGGCATTGCGCCCAGAAGCGTCCCCCTAACCATTGCACGATCACCATGCAATGAGACAGCCCACTCCACTTTGGATGGCACTCATCATCGCGATGCTTGTCCCCATTCATTCATTTGGAGCAGGGCTCCACTTGAGTCTAAGGTGACTCTCACTCAACAGCTCAGGCCAGACTGCACACTCTGGGAGCACGAGAGGACAGGCCATCAGACAAGCCATACTGACTCCCAGGAAAGACTCATGCTGAGGGCAGGCTCAGAGATTTGCTTCCAAATCCAGAATGTCCACTGTTGGCCCCTGTGGTGATGGGGAGTGAGGGGCGTGCCTGCTCTCACTGTAGAAGGAGGAGCCACCTGTAACATGCGTAACAGGACCGTATAAGCACCCAGAAGACAGAAGGTGCTCCAAGATATCAACAGGAGAAAGCCAATCCAGTGAAATTAAAAAAATAAAAAGGATAGGAATAGACATGTCAAAGAGGAGAAAAAGCAAGTGGGCGATGAACACACGAAAATGTGGCAACTTAACCAATGCCAAATAAAGCTAACCTAACAATTAGACACTATTATTCATTGGCTGGCAAAAATCACAAAGTGTTGGTGAGGATGTGGGAAAATTGGCATATTTGTGAGAACGCATGCTCACACAGACCTTCTGGAGTGTGCTTTAGCTCTATTTATTAAAATTTAAAGTATGTGTTTACTTAGATCTGTGCTGTCCAATTCATGATAGCTGCTAGCGACGTGTGGCTGTTTAAATTTAAAAGTAACCTAATTAAACTTCAACACAATCACAACTTCTGTTTCTCAGTTGCACCAGCTCCATTTCAATTGCTCAAAAGCCACGTGTTGGCGAGCGGCTGCTGTATTGGACAGTGCAGAAAAGAACAGTCTCATCATTGTAGAAAGTTCTATCGGACAGCCCTGCCTTAGACACAGAAATTTCGTTTGAAGATATGAACTCTTAGAGAAACCATAACACAGGTACCCAAAGTCACATGTATAAGGATCCTTCCTTAAACATTCTAGGAGAAAATAGAAAAGCCAGGAGCACTAATGAGGAAGTGGTTAAATCATGCATCTGTGTTAAGGACGGTATGGAGCGTTAGGAAAGAATGAGGCAGTCTCCGTTTTGCTAACATGAGAAGATCTCTCAAGTATAGTGGTAACAATAAGAAGCCAACTACAAAATAGTGGTACCATCCCCATTTGTAAAAAAAAAAAAAAAAAAAAAAAATTATAAAATGAAATCACATATTTCTGTAAGTTTTGTGTGTGCTTAGAAAAAGATCTAGCCATGGGATCTCTGGGAAGAAGGTAGGACTGACAGAAGTCCAAGTGGAAATTCAGCTTTATCTGAACATTTCCAAACAAGAACGAAATAAAGATAATTTATAAAGACTATCAGTGACTCGGATGGGAGAAGTTTCTATCTGTCATTAGCAGAGCATCTGACACTCACTGTGCTCTGTCCTGGCCCCACTGAATCGCACTGGGGTCTAAACTGGGTCCCCCAATACTGGGATGTCTGAGCATAAAAACATCAATGTGTGCAGTGCTGGCACCAGGGGCCCTGGCTGTCACTGGCACCAGACCATGGCCACCATCAGGTCCAGGCGAAGCCTCCGCACCAACATCAGTGTGGCACTGGCGAAGGCCAGCAGCCCTGGAGGCCCGAGACCCTGGTAAGTGTCTGGGGAAGAGCAGAGAATCGGGCAGGTAAAACAGTGAACGCTGGAGGCGGGAGCACCGTGCAGTATTTGGGGAACAGCAGGAGGCCTGAGTGGCTGTCTCTGTGTGGGGAGGCACGGGCAGGTGCCCGAGGGGGAAGGCGGTCTCCCGCAGGGCCTGGCGGGGCTGTGCTAAGGAATCTGAGTCTGCTCACTCCGAGCCATGGGAGACCACCGTAGGATTTTTAGTGGTGTCACTCACGCTGGCTGTGGAGGGAAATGACAGCATAAGTCGGGAGGCTATGGAAGAATTCCCGGGAGAGAGGCTGAGCTGACACTCGGGTCCTACCAGTGGGGCGTGGAGAGACGTGAGTGTATCAAAGAGACGTTGAAAGTGGAGCCGACAGACGATAAGACGAATGACTCAGACCTGCTCTCAATTTAGTCGAGGAAAAGACAGGAGACATAAAAAACCAGGTTGGTTTCCCTCAGTTCAGCTCGCGAAATCAGCCACCATCATGAACGGGGCCAGTGGCGATGCTTTGGAAAGACACCAATGATGCGATGTCTGGTTTTTTATTAAATTTTCCAAGCAAACTATTAAATCACGGCAGAAACAAAGGTAGAGGCACTATGATAATGCAAATGGATTCGCTGAGTTCAGCCAAGGACCAATCAGCAGCTTTTTTGCGGATCCGATGACCAAAGTGACTGCAAAGGACCGGGGCCAAAGACTGATGTCCCCATTTACAAATGGGGTCAAAGGGCCAGAATAATGTCTCCCTTTTTCTTCCTGCTTTGAGAGAGTCTGAAATGATGACCATCACAGAGAACAAGACCCTCTCAATCTGTAAGTTCTGATCACAGAACAGAGCTGTTGGGCCTGATTCCAGGCACAACGCCCGCCCAGCCCTACTCAGCGCCAGTGGCCCGGGGCCAGGCCGTGGGTCGGCAGGCAGGGTTCTTGGGTTCCGGTCCTGGTTCTGCGTTGTTTTAACGTTGCGACCCCGTGTCCCCATGTGTACAGCAGTGATGACGTCTTCCCTTTCCTCCCTTGCTGGGAGCCGATGTCCCTGGCTACATCCAAGACACTAATGCAGTGCCTGATGGGACCCAACCAGGTTAATTCGATTGCTTTCTCAGTGCAAAAAGGACGGGATGTGTGAGGTCACGTGCAATCACTTTACTTCACTCAAGAGAAACGCTTTTATTGTCAAAGCGCCTTCTGACCGTTATTACGGTGACAAAGATGAGGATGCACAGTGTCGCCGCTTCCGCTTAACCGTGCACTCTGAGGTAAGAGACAGAGATTTAACAAAAAAATCAGATAGACAGGTATAAGCCTAACAAAAGATGTGCAAGACCATATGTGTGTGTGTGTGGGTGTGTGTGCATCTCACTGCTTCTGTGTCCATCATCCATCGATGGGCCCTCAGGTAGTGCCCATGTCTTGGTGATGGTAAATAATGCTACAGGGAATGTAGGGGTGCGGATATTTCTTCGAGACACCAATTTCACTTCCTTCAGATACATTCCCAGAAGTGGGCCTGCTGGACCACATGGTAGTTCTGGTTTTAATGTTTTAAGGAAACTCCGCACTGTTTTCCACAGTGGCGAGGAATCCCAGTTTTTTTATCCTTCCAAGGATGAAAAATCCTATGGGAAGTGGGGCTCAGCCGTCCCAGGCACCCCAGCTCTCTAGGTCCCAACCCAAGGAATCACAGTGACCCCCAAAATTTTGAGGAGTAAAATGGCAAATGTTTTAAATTACTACGTTTTCGAGTAATTCATTATGCAGCAAAAGATAACTAATATTATTTGTAATCATATTATATTGATTTTGTTCTCATACTCTCAGGAGTATTAAATAGCATGATTCCAATTATCATAAGATATTTTTATTTCCATTTACATAAATAGCCTCTTCAATTCACCCTAAATTGTGGAACTCCTACTATAACTCTGATATATTTTTAAACAATATATTCGTGTTTTTAAAAGATGGAAAAGAGAAACTTCACAACTTGACTCACTGGAAAGCAGAAACAATGTTGCAACCTAGCAACTATTACTTTATGTAGATTTATCATTCATATCCCATAAGGATCCTCTCTCCTGCACAAAATGACTGTAAGCATTCATTCAATTATTGAATCATTACACTATTTGAATGAATGATTATACGAATTATAATTAAAATAATCGTCTACACTTTGATCAAATTCACAGGGAAAAAATCCATAATGGACATGATTTCAACAGTAGAAAGAAAGGCCCTTACTCTTATGACCGAGAAGGTAAAGTGGTAAGCCTAGAGATAGAAAAAATAAAATCTTCAGTAGAACAACAGTTACGAGAAGAGATTTTTGAATACAAATCCACACTTACTACAGATTATGATGAGATTCAAGCGACATAAAAATAGACTACACAGATAACTGGATTACTTTTATCACCACAAATTTTAAGAAGAAACAAACAAACTGGTTTACAGAAAAACAGAATACTTTCGGCATTTTGTCTTTTTTATAATAAATTTCTCAAAGTAAAGAGATTAAAATTGCAAATTCTGGAATGAGACCGTCAGTCAAATCTTTGTTCTACTATATATTAACTGTATGACCTCAGACTTCTTAATCTCTTAAGCTAGAGTTCTTTGACATGTAAAATCAAGGTAATAAGAGCAATTACTCCGTAGGGTTGTTATGATTTAAAAAATACAAGAACATCAGTCACTTGTAATTGCTACCAATCAGACTGATGGTTATCATGAATCTCCAGTGCCTATTTCCCATCCTCCTCATGAATCTGAATGATCTTTGTTTCCAGAAAAAGCCACTGAGCAATGCCCATGGTGATTCAAAAACAGCTTATCAGAGACATTCAAAGAGCACACAGTTCTTAGCTCGTGCATATTTTCCAGAGAAATAGAAAAAGAAAATAGTCTCTCCAACTCATTTTAAGAGGCTAACATGGCCTTGATACAAAACTCCTTAAGGATAATATGAGAAATGATAATTGGAGATGAATTTAATTGATTAACATAGCTGAACAAATCACATAAAATATATTAGTGAAATGAACAAAGTAATGTGTTTAAAAAATAATATATCATCACTAAGTTGAAATTATTCTAGAAATAGATCATTTTAATATGATGATCATTTAATATGATCATCATTTCAATGGATACAAAAAAAAACATTTGAGAGAGAATTCAAGATCTATTCACAATTAGAGAAAAAGAAAGAGAAAGAAAGAAACGTGTTGGAAAGCTTCGAGTAAAGAACTCCTTAACCTCTGGCAAGTTATCTACACAACAACCTGGAGGGAAAAAGACTTTTTAATGGTCACATATTGAAAGTCCACCGTTAAGATTAGGTATCAGCACGTGTGTCCTCTGAAACCACTTTTACTCAGCCTGTCCTTGGGAACCCTAAAGAGTTAAGTAAGGCCACAAAACCAACACAAAGAATAAGCATTGGAAAGTAAGAAATGATCATTGACTGTCATCATCCACACATCATCGGATTCTCTACAAAGAAAATTCAAAAGACTTTTCTTTTCTCCCTATCTGCCTTTTCCTTCGGGAAGCTCATCCATTTACCTGATTTCCGAAATGAAACCTTTCTCGGCGTTCGCCATGCACTCCAGCCTTGTATCTAACTGCCGAGTTGATCTCCTATAGGTTGCCAATACCCGTCTCCAAATTAAGATATCTAGAAATACTTGGAACCATTTTACTCCTCGGTCATAACCTTAAATAGGTTTCACCTCCATTTTCTCCAACACCATCTGCTAAGAACTCAAGCCAAAAACCTCCGAGTCCGTTTTCCATCCAATCTATCAAGCCCTGGAGGTTACACTCCCTGTCTATCACGGGCTTATCCACTGACACCACCTTAGCCCATGGCACGATCCTATGCACTTAGCGTTCCAAAACGCAGTCCTTCCCTTTTCTCCTTGGCATTCACGAATCGTATCTACAAGCTTCTGCTGCTCTCGTACACGCTGGCACACGTGTGATAGTGACCTCTGCTTGTGTATTACAGTAGGCAGCTGCATCTTCGTACCTCCAATGTCATCCTAAATTCATTCACTGTCTCCTTCCAATATATCAATGCCAACAACCTTTTTACAAAAATCTTGTATTTTTAAAAGATTCTTTCTGTTGGCTTATTTTTGCCAACCCCTGTAGATCAAAAGTTGAAGGGTAATACAGATTTGGTTACGTTAAATCTCTTTTCCTATAAACATATTTTTACCAATACACTTATTTTTTATAAGATGTGGCAATTGGTACTGTAACATAGGGAGAGGTGATGGCAGTGCTCCATAGCTATAGTTCATATAAAAATGTGGTTTTATAACATCTTTTATTCTCTATCAACCTCTTATGGGACTAGCAATTCTAGGAAAACCTTCTCAGGGACAAATATCTGATTGGATATTGCCTGGAAAAAAGGTAATGCCTCCACATTGTTGAGCCCTTCATAAATTATCTCCCTTTGGTTCCAAAACCATGATGAAAAAGGCAAAACATTGTACGCTATAGAAGTTCAGTTTTCAGACATGTTTTTGTAGCCCCAAACTTAATCTGAATAAAAGCAAAGCTAGGTATCTCTTTCTCAACTCTACATTCCAAAAATCACTACACACACACACACCCCAAGACAGAGAATAAAAAGAAATACTTTACTAGGAAAAGAACTGCTTTACTGAAAAGCCTTGAATGAACTTAACAAATAAACCGTGCTCCCCAATTAGTCAGTTGAATTTTTAAAAGAATGCTGCTGTTTGTCTCCTGGTCAGATGAAATTACTCAGAAAGTCAGTGGGAGATGAATCTGTTTTATGTGAGTAAATTAATTGCTAAATTTTGGTTAACAGTCTATTCTCACCCCCGTCTCCCCCATAAAGTATTATGTCATTTGTGAATATTCAATTCCCTTTGCTTTGTCAATGAATTTTCTTTCCACTACTGGGTCCTCTGAAAATCTCTCATTTCATTTGAACAGATGTAAAGAGATAAAAATCAAATACATATCAGGAAAGAATGTAAAAATCAATCTGCAAATGAGTTTGTGAATTTCCTATGAATTTTCCATGCTTTGATAATGATATTTCATAAGTAACTGAATTTGAATTTTAGTTTATGAATGGAAGGAAGAATTATACCTCAGTAATAAAGTGTTGACTAAATGAAATACCTTCTACTTCACAACTAAAACATGCTTAGAAGAATCATTATTCTAGAACAGTAGGAGTTAGTTCTAGGAATTAAAAAAAAAACCAGTTGCAGTAAAGTTAAAAAGGATAGTCAAAAGTAAATACTTTTAAACAATATCATTGACAGTACTGTATAAACATATATTTTTCTTATAGTAGATAGTCATGGTTACCATTACAAAAACAGTGTTGTTTAAAATTCAAACACATACACACACGTGTACATGCACGCGCACACACACCCCCTGGAAAATTTACTAAAAAATGAAGGTCTTGTCTCAGCTTAGCCACCATCTATTTTTTTAATATAACCACAGACATTCTAATGCCTCACTTTTTTTCTATCCAAAAAAGAGAGTGGAAAAATATCTCCAAGCAATATAAATATTGGAAAC